AGCCACGGAGCAAGGACACTGCCCTGGGGGACTCCAGCTTGGATTTCCTTGACTGCAGAAAACGTGCCGTCGACTACCACTACAAACTTTCTGTTTTTGAGGAAGCTGTGGATTATATGAAAAAGAGAGGGGGGAAGCAAAGTTTTTATTTTGAACAGGAGTCCTTTGTGCCACACTCGGTCAAACGCTTGTTTGATGTCAACAAATGCCGCGACGCAATACTCGAGGTTCTCGAAGCTGTCGAGGATGAAATCCACCACTCGGTGGAGCTGCTCCGGTGTCCCATGCCGTCTTCGAAATCCGAACTGATGCCTTGGTATGATGCGCTTAACACAATCCAGCTCCGACACTCTGGCCATTAATATTCTTTCGAATATTTTGGAGAGGGTCGGAAGCAGGCTGATTGGTCGATAAGATTCGACTTGCGTGAGCGATTTTTTGGGTTTTGGAATCATGGCAAACTCCTCCTCTAGGTATTATAAAAATCAGCCTTATCCTTATCAGGTACAGAGGTCAAACAGATTCTTTGCAGCAATATATAAACCTGTCTTAAACCTTTTTGAATTGTCTGTAAACACTTCATCTTTTCCGACAGTTTGAAAGGAATCATACATCTCCATAAGAAAGGGAGTAAGTTCGATGTCGAAGATTATATAGGTATTTCCAAATTATCTGCTATACCTAAAACTTTTAAGAGATTCATAATATCTCAACTGCAACATTTATGTAGTTCTATTATTTCACCTTCCCAGCAAGCGCAGATGTACAACCACTAACTTTCTTGAGTTTACTTCGCTTGTAATTGATGGGTTTAAGAAAAGAATGCAGGCTGACGTCATCTACACTGATCTCAGTAAGGCTTTCGACTCTGTCAACCACTCCTTGCTGCTTCATAAATTATGCCTTCTTGGCTTCCCAGTCAATCTCTTGAACTGGATTTCAGAGTATTTGCGTAACAGAATCCAAAAGGTTCTTTTCAGAAATTCGTTTTCTAAACGTAGTCATCTTGGCCCGCTACTCTTTACTCTTTTCATAAATGACCTTCCCTCGATACTGTCTCACTTTCGAGTACTAATGTATGCTGACGATGTGAAGTTATGCCTTGCATATAAAGATATGGCATCATGTTATCTTTTACAAGCTGACATTGATGCATTTCAGGCTTGGTGTCTAGCCAACCTCTTAAACTTAAACTGCTCCAAATGTAAGGTAATGAGTTTCTATAGAAGCCCTCCACAATTGGCTTCTTATATCCTTGATAGCTTACCGTTCGAGCGTGTTAACAGTACTTCTAATCAAGTTAATGATCTAGGTGTCATCCTTGTTCATAAATTTAAATTCGACTCTTATGCTAAGACCGTGGTCAATAAGGCCTGGCCTTTCATCTGGCCTTTAATACTTCACACGACATGCTAGCCGACGGCTGTTCAGACGAACGGAATGCCGAAGTCCCGGCTTGCTGATGCTGACACGAGCAGCGAAGTTAGTCGCCAACCAGCCTTCAGCAAGGCTGGTCGATGGTGCTTTGGGTCGCTTCTTTTTCGAAGTACATTGAGCGAAAAAGTTTTAAACTTACGATCGACGCATAGTACCTTACCTTATCCATTAAATGCATGCTATATTTAAATGATACATTTCCCTAGATACTAATGATAAATGTTACAGGAAAATTTAAGAATTAAATAATTTTTTCACAGAGCGCATCTTGTGCAATAACTATGTTAGGAAAATAGCACACATAGATTGATTTCACATTTGTTTTTGGACAGTGTTGCGAAGTTCTTGTCTCAGCCAATGGCGTGCAAGTACCTATGTTTGAATGTGTGAATTATGCATGTGTCGGAGATGAAGAAGTAATATTATCATTATTATGTTTGTAAATAACTAAGCAATGGTCAATAAATGAAATTCGAAAGATACTAGCTATCGATATTTTGTTAGTGTGACCCAAGGTTGCTGAGAGCATAGTCGGAGAGCGAGAGAGACTCTCAGATGAGCATGGCCCAAGTGTTGTTGTAAAAAGAAGGAAGCACAAAAAGAAAAAGAAAAAAAACGACGAGCAAAGCGCCGGGTAAAGAGGACGGAAAAAAATTAGGTCCAGTCATTCTGTGCGTGGAAACCAAAAGACAGAGACTTGGGACTTGCTGTGCTTTGGCAATCACTGGCGTGCACTTTTCGAGGCGCAGAACCGAAGTTTTATGGATCTAATTCAATCGATGCAGGCATCAGGAAAGGCTGTTGAAAAATTTGTAACCCTGCCAAAGTACAATCCCGACGCTGTGTGTGCAGATGCTGCGGCCTGGTGCAAAACGGTGGACATAATCATGGCTGAGAATCCGATAGAAGGGCAGCGCACTTGTGATGGCACTCAGTGACTCGCTTCAAGGTGGAGCATCACAGTGGCTATCGCAGATCTGCTACACGGGAATCAAATGGCCTGAGTTTCGAGAGCTGTTTGTTCAGCGTTACGAGGGAATAGAGACGCCGGCAGCCATTTTGCTGAACATCTTCAACGGGAGCCCAAAGCCGAGCGAGTGCTTGTCTGTATATGGCAGCCGCTTAGTGACGTCACTGCTGTCTAAATGGAAAACAATAAATCTGGAGGAAATAGCGGTGTCCGTTGTGCTAGCCCACGCATCCAAAATAGACAACCGACTGCAGCGCTTGCTATTCACTACCAATATCAGAACACGCAGTGAATTGGACCAGCAGTTGCGAGCGTATGCGTTTGGCAAACGGAACGACTACTATAGTGTGGATCACGCCCCCCCCCCGAACGGAAGATGCAAAAATTAACGCCGAAGCTACACTGCCATTTCTGTGGCAAAGTTGGACATAAAATGGCGGAGTGCCGCAGCAGGAAAACTGGAGAGTGGAACGCGTTCAAGGGAAGTCAGACGCATGGCAACGCGACACAGGGCAAAGAACGAGCAGCGGTGACATGTTTTAAATGCGGCAACCCTGGACACATTGCATCTGTATGTACAAAGGGTACCTCAGCGTCGAGTAAGAGCGGCACATACGAGAGGAGGCGTATGATCGACTTGAAAATGTGTTGAATGTCCTGCACATTTATGAAACCAAGTGTTGAATATCTGGGGTACAAAGTTGAAAATGGCGAACTAAGGCCGAATCCGCGGAAGATAGAAGCTTTGGAAGCTTTGCCACCACCACAGTCAGTGACTCAACTAAGACAGTTCATCGGTTTGTCTTCTTACTTTCGGCAATTTGTTCCACGATTCTCAGAGCAAATGAAGCCGCTGTATTTACTGACCTCTAAGAACAACCAGTTTTAATGGGAACCAAAACACAAACAAGTACGACAGAAAATCATTTCAACACTAGTGAGTGAGTCCGTTCTGATAATCTATGATCCACAGTATCCTGTTGAGTTGCATACCGATGCTAGTTCGATAGGGTATGGTGCCATATTGATGCATAAGTAAATGGCAAATCGAGCGTTATCGAGTATTATAGCAAATGCACTACAGCGGCAGAATCAAAATACCACTCATATGAGTTGGAAACGTTAGCCGTGTTTAATGCTGTAAAACACTTCCGCCATTACCTGCATGGCCGTCCTTTTGTGGTATACACTGATTGCAATTCTCTGAAAGCTAGTCGAAATAAGATTGAGTTATCGCCTAGGGTACATTGCTGGTGGGCATATCTACAATCATTTGATTTTAGCATAGAGTATAGAAAAGGGAATCATATGGCACATGTAGACTTTCTTTCGCGCAACCCCTTACCTGATGATAGACATTCAAATGTGGTAAAGAATAAGGAATTGCGCGTGGAACTAGCGGAAATAACGAATAATTGGCTCCTAGCAGAACAGCAGCGAGATGAAGAGTTAGCTGAAGTAATTTTAAAAATGCAAAATAATGAATTGCAGGATGAGATTGCAAAGACATATGAGCTGCGAGCGGGTATGCTGTACAAGAAAATACAAAGAAATGGTCGAACCAGGTGTCTGCCTGTAATACCCAGGGCGTTCAGGTGGTCAGTCATCAATCACGTACACGAAGCTATAATGCATCTCGGCTGGGAAAAGACTTTAGATAAGGTGTATACTCAGTATTGGTTTGAGGACATGTCAAAGTATGTGCGAAAGTTTGTGGAAAATTGCATCACATGCAAATTGACGAAACCTGCCACAGGCAAAGCACAAATAGAATTGCATTCCATACCGAAAATCGACATACCATGGCATACGATACATATTGATATTAGCGGAAAACTAAAAGGCAAGAGTGATCGCAAGGAATACGTGATAGTGCAGATCGATGCTTTCACTAAATTCGTGTATCTTCATCACACTCTTAGCCTTGATACTGACAGTTGCATAGAGGCAGTAAAATCTGCCATATCTTTATTCGGGGTTCCAAATCGTATAATTGCTGATCAGGGTCGTAGTTTAACAAGTAATGACTTCCGACAGTTTCGCGCGAACGGTCAGGTAGAGCGCGTTGTGAGTACCATGAAAGCAATGTTGACGGCTGTAGAGACAAGTAATCGATCTTGGCAAGATGCAGTAAAAGATGTTCAGTTGGCTTTAAATTGTACAACGAATCGAGTCACCAAGGCCAGTCCATTGGAGATGTTAATTGGATAGGAGGCAAGACCTTTGGGTATGATACCTTTAGTGGAAGAAGAAAAAGTAGATGTAGAAGGTGTTACAATTCGAGCCCAACGAAACATGATAAGTAATGCTGGGTATGATAAACAGAGATTTGATAGGGATAAGGCCAAAAGTGTGAGATTTGGCGTAGGCGACCATGTCTTGCTCAAGTGTGAAGAACGTCACCAAACGAAGTTGGATCCTAAGTTCAAAGGACCATTTTTGATAATTGAAGTACTTGAAGGTGACCGTTATGTGTTAAAATCTTTATCTAGTAAGAGAACGTATAAGTATGCTCAAGAACAGTTGCGGGCTATGCCAAGTGGGCTAGTCGCAGCTGAGGTGGATCACCTGCTCGAGGGCAAGGCTGATGAAGATGTACCATGCACTGTGGCGCCGGTGGGTGCGTTGAATTGAATCATACACGAAGGCTACGACCGCACCACGATGGTCAACCGATGGCACAAGTGTAGGCTAGTGAGAGTCGAACATGGCGTGCGGCGCGGTTGATGTCGCGTGGCGGGGGTCAAGAGGGTCTAAAGAGAGACCATGACGCAAAGAGTGCGTGAGAGCGTTGTATTGAGACAGCAAGAGCCTTAGAACGTGGTATGAAATTGATGATATGATATTGAGAAATGTAAAAGAAATATGAAAGAGTGATGGTACGATGGTACAGTGGTACTAAAGAAGAAAGAAATGTTAAAGAGCAAGATTGAAAAAAAAAAAAAGAGGACGTGTGGCTCTAGTATGATGTAAGAATAGAGATAAAGATTTGAAAATGAATTTGAGTTAAAATTATCTATTGTTAGAAGAAATTGAAGAACGAATGTAAAATTAAATGTTAAGTAACTTGAGCAAGGAAGGAAGCTACTAAGTATTTGGTTGTTATTATGTACGGCACGACACACGAGGACGTGTGAGTGTCAGGAGGGCCGTGTCGGAGATGGAGAAGTAATATTATCATTATTATGTTTGTAAATACCTAAGCAATGTTCACTAAATGATATTCGAACGATACTAGCTATCGATATTTTGTTAGTGTGACCCAAGGTTGCTGAGAGCATAGTCGGAGAGCGAGAGAGACTCTCAGATGAGCATGGCCCAAGTGTTGTTGTAAAAAGAAGAAAGCACAAAAAGAAAAAGAAAAAAACGACGAGCAAAGCGCCGGGTAAAGAGGACGGAAAAAAATTAGGTCCAGTCATTCTGTGCGTGGAAACCAAAAGACATAGACTTGGGACTTGTTGTGCTTTGGCGACGAATAAAAAGGAAAATGAATAAGGAAAACGAAGGACACGATGTGCCATTGAATGCCAACCTTACTCCGATACATGCATAACTACATCAAAATATTTATATATGTGTTGTTATTCACTGCTCGGGCTTTGGCTGGCAATGAAATAAATTTGGTTAGTTTTCTAGCGCTGATCATGCACCTTTCCCAAATTTGTATTCACATATGAAAATATGTTGTTATGTATGTGTCGTAGATGGTTTACTGTATGCCAATGTAGATGTGCGTACGTAATGTTGTGGCGACATATAGTCACGATAAATTCCGTTATAGCTCGCTATGTCTGTTTCCAAGAATTTGCAATTGAGTGTAAGCATAGCAGCAGAGACAGAGAGAGACTGCTGCTGAGTGAGGTCTGATCGTGGAGCGCTGACTGAAGAAGAGTAACGGAGAGAACAATAGTTGCACTATTTTGAGTGACTAATTGATTGGTGAAATGGAACTAAGGAAGAATGAGAAGTCAGTCTGCTCGCGCTGTTGACACGGACAGAACTTGCTGTGCTGCCAAATTGCAACTACGATGGATAACCATATCTATACTCCGACATCAGATGTGGGATCTGCTTCACCTAAAGATCAAAGCTCTGATCAGTATCTTGCAGCGCTAAGACACCAAGGGCACCAGCAGCGAATGGGAGTGCTTCATATGTTAAGTTGCCTAAATTTAATCCTGATTGTGCTGACGCGAACGTTTCATCCTGGTGTACAACAGTAGACCGCATATTTACAGACAACGTGCTCGAGAGCAGCGCCCTAGTCATATCTTTAAACATGGCTTTAGAGGGCAGTGCGTCACTGTGGCTGTCACAGATATGCTATGCCGGCATTACTTGGATGGAGTTTAAAGAGCTGTTTATTCAACGCTTCGTGGTCATTGAGATGTCTGCTGCCATTATAATGCATGTTTTGAACGGGCGTCCAAAATCTGGTGTTGCTGAATATGACAGTCGAATTGTGACTCTACTTATGTCTAAGTGGAAGACAAAAGATCTGGAGGAATTCGCAGTGTCGGTAGCGTTGGCTCACATGGCACAAATTGATAAAAATTTGTTACGTTGGGTATTCACTACTAATGTAAAAACGCGCAACGAGCTACAACAGCAGTTACAGGCACACGGTTTTAGGAAGCGTAATATAGATGAGGATGGGTATACAACAGGACCAGAGCGAAAGAAATCTAAACTTCTGTCAGTGTACATACATTATTATTAACATTATTAAAACTTTGCTTTTTGATCTTATCTCTATTTACTTATTAGCTACCTCCTATGTTATTTTGTTTTATTATATTTATTGTTTTTATAATCACTTTTTGATTGTTTTCTTTTGCATCCAATGTTTTATATTTTGTATGCTCCAGACACCTTTATATGGATTGCGTGAAACCTGAAATCCTTCTACGTCTTTTAACAAAAATCTGTAATTTCGCATTACCTTGACTATCATATACGGTCCTTAGTGTTTCGAAATCAATTTTCTGGATGCGCCTATGGTTGCGTCAAAATTTTTTACCATTACATAATCACCTTTTTTTAACTTTTTAGGTTTTGTTTTATTTTTGTTATACAGTTTCTCGTATTTTTCCTAGGCTTCTTTTTGATTTTTCTCTGCTTCTTTTCTGATTTTTGTTAGGCTTTTCGTTAGTATTGTTGAATTTATTTCGTCTAGCTTTTCCTTTAAACTATCTATGACTGTGCCTTTTTGTTGTGTTCCGAAAAACATTTTACTTGGAAACTGTATAATGCTACGATGTTGTGTGTTGTTAAGTGCGTATTCTACTTCGTCAATGATTGTGTCCCAAAATATTTTATTCTCCGGTTCTACGAGTTTTTAAATCATTGGCCCTAAACTTCTATTAATCCTTTCTACCTGGCCATTAGCTTGAGGTGATCATGTCGCTATATTAATATGTTTAATGTTCGTTTCTGTCATAAAGTCTTCAAATTCGTTCGACGTGATACAACTGCCGCGATCGGAAACGATGCAACGTGGTCTGCTGTATGCCTTTAAATATTCTCTAAACGATGTGATAACTTCTTTTGTGTTCGTTGTCTTGGTAGCAAATAGTATTTCGAACTTTGTAAATTCATCTACTATGACAAAAATATATTTCTTTGTCCTTATATTGTCCACAGGACCGTAATGGTCAATATGTATTAATTCAAACGGTTTGCTACCTTTTGGGATGCAATGTAGGAAACCTTCTCCCCTTTTCTAAGATTAATAGTTTTTGGGGGTTTTCCTTGGCAAATGACTAAATTTTCTTCAAAACTGTTTGTTTCTATTATTAAAATGTTGTGACATCGGCTGAGTGCGTCTACGTGCTGCATTTTGTTTCCTGACCTGTGTACTAAATCGTAATCATAATTTTGCAGCTCGAGAGCCCACCTAGCTATTCGTGGATTTAAATCAGCTCTTTTCAGAGTTAAAGTCAGTGAGTGACAATCTGTAATAATTTTGAAATGTTTACCTTGTAGATATATTCTGAATCTGCGCAGTACATGGATGAGAAATAAAAAATAGGATGAAGTTTTCTATCTTCTTTTTTCTGAAATCGCAAGGAAGTCGCAATGTAATTTTGTGTCATGTCTATGATCGTAAATTGCTAAAATTGGGGATGGTATAAGTTTTTCTTTAAGTGTTAGAAAACATTCTAGTTCCTTTTCTTCAAAACAAAATAGTTTTTCTTTTTTAATTAAATCATATAATGGTTTAGCAATTGTTGAGAATCCGTTTATGAATCTACGAAAATAGGAACAAAGTCCAAGAAAGCTCTGAACGGCGTGTACCTTGTTCGGTATGGGAAAATTTTTTACGGCTTCTATCCCCTTTTCGTCTGCTTGAATACCATTTTTTTAAATGAGAAAGCCCAAGTATTTCATACTTGATTTTGAAAACTCGCATTTATCCATTCGTAACTCTAATTTATTCTGTATTAATCGTGTAAAGATTTCCGCTAAAGTGTTTAAATGCTCGTTTATATCTTTACTAGCGACCATAATGTCATCCATGTAAACAATAACTTTATTGACTTTGATCATGTCGGAAAATATTTTATTGATGAAACGTTGAAACACTGCAGATACATTTTTGACTCCCATGGGCATTCTTAAGAATTCAAACTGCCCTAAAGGTGTGACGAACGCTGTATATTTTACCGACTCTTCCTTAACGAATACATGAAAATAACCATTCTTTAGGTCTAGTTTTGAAAACACAGTTTTGTTTACTTATTTATCTAATAAGTCATCGATATGTGGAAGTGGATAGTTGTCTTTAGCTAATACCTTGTTGAGTTTCCTAAAAACTATGCATAACCTCATGTCTCCAGTTTTATTTTTTACTTACACTATCGGTGATGCGTTCTCAGAATCACTAGGACGTATATTGCCATTCTTTAAATATTCATCTAATAATTCCTGAAGTTTTTCTTTTCACTATATGCCAATCGCCGTGGAGAACAACTAAATGGCTTATTGCTTTCTAACAGTTGTTTAATTTCTGCTCTAATTTTTGGGATATCTGGTTTGATTGCTTTTATATATCTATCCTCAATTATTTTTATAAATCTGCACTTTGTTTCATAACTTGCATCTTCACTACAATTATATTCACTTGTCGTGTCGTCTGCGTAGTAAATGTTAAACATTTCATTTTCAGAAGTGTCCGATTCTATTTCATTATTTATCGTGGTTGACGAAGCATATAAGTTATTCGCGTTTTCATACTTTTGTTCGTTCTTTAAAGGTGAATGCACTTTATTGTTCTTTTCGGTTTTATTTTCACTAAGTCCTAATATATCCGTTACCTCCGTAGCTTCACTCACTTGCTCTATTGTATTTGTTGCCTGTTGTATAACTGTTTTCACTGTTTATCCGTTGTCTGTTCTGTCACTGCTTGCACTGTTGTAACTGTTGCCTGTTGTAAAACTTCTTGATCAGTTGTAAAACCACTATCAATGTCTTTGATAATATCATTTTGAAAACTTTCCTTATCTGCACTAATTGTATTGCCGTCCTTGATTTTGGTATCCACCGACAGACTTTCATTAGACTGGGAAAGATTTAACTCGTTGGAGTGTTCTAGTGTTACCATTTTTAAAGTGTTTGGATCAAACCCTAAATCGCATGCATCTAAAAAATTTCTGCCCAAGACAACATCATGACTCATAGACTCGTTTGCAACTACTGTCAAATTACAGTAACATTTTATTGATTTTTTTAATACAAAGCATAATGTTTTTCCAAATATTTTAACTTTTATTTAAACCGAAATAAATTTGTGTCTCATGTTGTACTTTGGCCTCTTTGGGCAATAGACATTTTTTTATTAGTGAAATGGGACTACCCGAGTCTATAAGGCATGCTGTAATGTAATTTTAAAATATCTTACATAATTATTTTTCGCTACGCCCTTTCTCTCTGGACATTGTGCTACAAAGTGGCAGAATTTGCCACATGCATAGCATGTACCTGGCTCTCTTTTCGGCTTGCGGCATGCTCGCAAATTGTGCCCGGTGGAGTTGCACACCGAAGTTGGCTAATTTTTTCTGCGACTCTTTGAGCTCCTCCAGGTTGGTTGTACGATGTTGACCTAGTTGGCAAACGTACGCTCGCGAATGCTCGTAGAATCTGCATCGGGTGTAAAAAACACTGTATGCGGGCCTGATCTCGTAAATTCTAAGCCGAAATTCCCTCGATGATCTGTTCGATCAGCTCGTCCGGTTCCACGATGATGTTATTTGCTAACAACATTTTTTCTTCGAAGTAAGAAGCAAACTTCTTGCCTGGTTGCCACTGGAGATCTTCGAACTTACGTCGTAGCTCAGCCTTTGATTGTTTTTCCCCAAAAGCTAACTTTAACTGGTCTAGCAGAGTCTGTATTGGCTCCACTATGCGCATTGTGTTGGCATACAGCCAACGCTGAGCGTTCCCCTTTAACTTCGATATTACCAGGATGCGCATACCTGAGCCGTCCAGATTGTACATGTTGGCAATGTTTTGTAGCTGAATGGTCCAAATGTGTGCGCATGAGTTGCCATTAAAGTCGATTGCTATCTCCTTAGCTTGTGCTAGTGCCATTGCTGGTGTTAAAATTTCGATCGCTTTGTTTACGTTTGAGTGCTGATGTTGTTCATTATCGACGCTTGCTCTGTTGGTGTTGCATTATCGATATAAAGGTTTCGAATACCATAGATATCCCGACTGCTGCTACTGCTGTGATCGTCGATATCGTTGGCGTTGCCACTGTGATCGATGTTTGTGACGTCATTTTGCGCTTTCAAATTTCGCCAAAATCTGTTGCAACTCCATTTTGCTGGCGTCAATTTCTGCACGCAGCTACTGTAAGAAGCTGACCTCTCTTCGTACGTCGTGTCTGGCTACGTTTGCGCCTAATCACGCGTCTTCGTTTTCGGTGCTGATATCCGGCTGCAAGCTTTCCAAAGACTCGATAGCACTTGCTGTCTCCTGCACCTGATTTAGTGATGTTGCTATTTCGCAATGTATGTTCCTCGATTGGTGCATTGTTTCTTGCAATTTGGCGTTGGCTGGTGGCGCCATGCCTCGCACTTCTGACGAAATTGCGTTTAGGCGTGCCGTTAACTCGACCTTGGTGCCTGTGGTTGGGAGTTTTAGTGCCGCCAACCATTTTTTCAGCTGCACGACTGTGAATTGTTCAATATTGACACTATCCAAGATATTGATTGATGTACATAGGTGTGTGGATTAGGACCACTTCTGATATTTGTGGAAAGTTTTACCGTTATTCTGCCCAACAGCAAATCAGACACAGCGAAGTTCTTTGTACTTCTTTATTCTTCGTCGGGCGATACAGAACTGAACTCTCTCGTACACAATAATGTTAAATCGCGCGATAATGTTAATGCTTATGTTAAAGTGTGTGAATGACAATGTTATATGGGACTAAGTGATGTATGTATGAATGTATATCTATGTTGCCTTCTGTGTTTATCCTGCTACAGTATAACCAACGATTCTATTTGTAGTACATCACAAATTCTATGTAATATATGTAAATGTTGAACAAAATTGCTTAGAGATTTTGGTGCACGTTGATTAAATACTTATAGTGATCTGAACGATGTTGACAAGACGGAACTAAAGAATATTTTGAAAGCTTATTCTGAGAAATTTATAGATGGAATTCCAGAGACTCGCGTGACAACAGGGGTGTTGGAAATAAGGCAAAAAGATCCACAAAAAACAGTACAGCGTCGCCCTTATAGGCTTAGTGAAGATGCGAAAGAGCGTGTACGGTCTAAAATTGTTGAACTTTTAAAATCAAAGATTATTCGACCCAGCTGTTCACCTTTCGCTAGTCCTATGATGCTGGTTAAAAAGAAAAATGGTACCGATCGTATTTGTGTAGACTATCGCGTTTTGAACGAAAACACAATCGCAGATAAGTATCCGATGCCTCTTCTTTCAGACCAGGTTGCCCCGCTCCGTGGGGCAAGATACTTCTCGTGTATTGATATGGCTAGCGGTTTCTACCAAATCCCTGTACACACAGATTCAATAGAGCGGACAGCTTTCGTTATGCCAGAAGGAAAGTACAAATTTTTGACCTAAAGAACGCGCCATCTGTATTTCAGCGCGCAATAATAAAAGCATTGGGTACATTAGCACAGTCATATGTAATCGTTTACATTGACGATGTATTAATTATAGCTGAAACCAAAGACGAAGCGTTAGACTGTTACAGTGTTAGAAACATTAAAAAAAACGGATTTTTATTCAATATAAACAAATGTTCCTTCGAGTATCTTGGATACGAAATAAGCCATGGGGAAGTTCGGCCAAATGCACGCAAAATTCAAGCGTTTATAGGTTTGCCGCCTCCGCGTAATGTGACACAGTTCAGACAATTTATAAGTTTATTTCCGACAATTTGTTCCAAAATATTCCGAGTCATTAAAACCTCTGTATTTGCTTACTTCAAAGAGAAACCCTGAAATTGTTTGGCTGCCAGACAATGAGCAAATTCGTTTAAAAATACTATCTGTTTTGACACAGGCACCTGTGTTAACCATATTTGACACACAATATCCAATAGAATTGCACATAGATGCTAGCTCCGTGGACTATGGGGCAATATTGCTGCATAAAATTAGCAACAAACCCCATGTTGTTGAGTACTATAGGAAATGCACGTCACCTGCTGAAGCTAAATATCATTCGTACGAACTAGAGACACTGGCAGTTGTAAATGCTATCAAACATTTCCGTCATTATTTGCAAGGACGTAAATTTATCGTATATACGGACTGTAACTCTTTGAAGGCTAGTCGTACCAAAATGGATCTAACTCCGCGAGTACACATGATGGTGGGGTTTTTTGCAGTCATTTAATTTCGATCTCGAATACAGGAAAGGGGAGCACATGGCACATGTTGATTTCCTATCCCGAAAACTACTAACAGAAGAAAATAAGTGCATGAATAAAATAACTGAAAATCGAATTCATTTGACTAAAATAGCAGACAATTTCTGGATAATTTC